TCTTCGGACTGCGCCCCGCTGAGGCGGCGCCCACCTCCGTGGTGGGGCCGCGGGCCGCCCGCCTCGGAGCGGAGCCTCGTGCCAGTCAGAGCCTCCAGAGTCTGCCCCTCCCCTTCCTGATTATGATCTGCCGCCTGCTTTTTCCTTCTCTGCAGCAGCCTCCGGCCCATCCGTCTCGCCCTGCTCACACTCCGCCTCCAGTTCCTCCTCCTCCTCCTCCTCCTTCTCCTCCTCTTCCAGTCTCATCCTCGGCCTCCTCCTCCCCCTGCTGGGCAGACGCCGTCCATGTCACCAGATGCCAAGATGGCCATGCGACGCCCACGTGGAAGACAGCAGTGCCACCAACACCGTGCAACTCGGGCCCCTGCCTGGCGCAATGTCGGGACTGGTCACGGAGGGCACCCTGAGAGGACAGAACACCTCCCGCGAGAGCAGCCCGTGCTCCCAACACGGAAAAACGACACGCAAGACACGGACCACTTCCTTGACTCTGCTGGGGCGACCTGCTTATCGTACCAAATTCCAGCACTGGCGCGGATCAGCAAACAAGTGTGCCAAGCAGAGCGCGCCAGACCTTACGTGGTATTTTCTTTCGAAAGAATAATATATGTGTACATATATATATATATATATATATATATACAAGGCTGTATTTGCGCTTCGCGTCATGCACCTTGTTCCTTGAAGCTTTGGAGCGGTTGGCCTGTCGCGCCTTCATCTTTTCCCTTTGAAGCGTGCTCGCTGGCTCTTATCACGGAAAAGCGGGGAAGGGGAGAAGGGGGCAGTCAACTGGGGACGGGCAAAGTGAGTCGGAGACCACGGGCGCACGGAATGGCGTACATGGAAACTGCTGCATTCTGGGGTGCGCAACAGAATTTCCAGAAAAAACGGTTGCGAACCTGGGGTTGTGGGCAAGTTGCGGCCATCCGTAACGAAATAACACCGGAGCAGGCGAGAACCCAGGGATCTACATGGGGGTCTGCCAGAGCGGTGTGAGGGCCTTGTGGCTGGTCCATCTCGGAGACACCTCGGACTGTCCTCGGGGCGTCTTGGGACTGCCGCTCGCCCGTTTGCACGCTTGGGTGAACGTTGAGAAGGTGCCCTGGAGAGCTGGAATTCCTGGGTGGCCCTGTTGAGGAGCGTCCAGACGGTGTCCCCGGGCTGTCATGGAGCCGCCTATGGGCAGTTTGGGAGTCGTCTAGGGCCCTCATGCCGCATTCCTAAAGAGTGAGGATGCTGATTTGGCTCGTGTTGGGGCCTCTTTGGGCCGTCAGGGCGCCGCCCATAGATAGGCAGATTGGGGGCCGTCCCGGGCTCTCGTGGGGCCGCTTTGTGGATTCAGGAAGCGCGTTTGGGTTTGGTTGGAGCGGTGTTCGGAACTTTGACAATGTTTTCGGACGCCCGGCAGGTCGGAGGAACGAATGGTGGTAATCTTACAACATCATTGAAACATCAATGTTTTTAGGGCTCGAGCGCATCTTGGAGGTACCTTTCGGGTCGCCTCAGGGTATCCGACGAGGGCCAAAGCCAACTGGATGCCAATTTGGACCGTCTTGGGAGTGTCTTGGGCCTTCCGCCGGCCGCCTTGGGGTCAGTTTGGGGCGGTCATGGGGCCGCTTGTGGGCAGTCTAGGAGCCGTCTTAGGCCCCCGCACGGCTTTTCTGGAGTCGGGAAAGGTTTTCGGTGCCTCGCTTGCGTTTTCGGACGCCTGGCAAGCCGAATGAGGACATAGTCGAAAAGCATACACAGACCACAGAAAAAAACAAGATTTTCAAGGTTTCGAGCGCCTCTTGGACGTGACATTCGAAGCGCCTTCGAGCATCCAGTAAGGGTCTGGACCGCATGTTGCCATCTTGGACCGTTTGTGGCGACTTCAAGGCCGTGCGCCAGCCGTCGTGGGGTCAGTTTTGGGCGGTCATGGGGACTCTTGTGGGCAGATTGGGGGCCGCTTCGGGCGCTCATTGGGCGCATTTGGGCCGTGTGGGAGCGGTTGTCAATGCGTGTTCAACGTTCTCGGACGCGTTGAAGGCCGAATTAGCGAGCGTCCGAAAATCACACAAAACCAATGACACATCGATGTGTCTGGGGTTCGAACTCCTCTTTGGGGTGACATTGGGGTGATCTTCGGGCATCCCGCGGGGGTCAAGGCTAACTGGATGCCATCCTGGACCGTCTTGGGTAACTCTTGGGCCTTTCGCCGATCGATTTGGGACTGCCGCCTGCCTGCGTGCACGCCTTGGCACAAATTTCCAATCCCCCCCCGTGCCACGGATCCAAGGGGTGCCGTGTCGGGGGGGGGGGGGGCACCGCCCCCGGACTATAAGGATTTAGAAAAGAGAATCAACATGTCTCTCTCTCTCTCTCTTTTTTTCTCTCTCTCTCTCTGTCCCTCTCTCTCCCTCTAGCTCTTTCTTTCTCTCTCTCTCCTCCTTCTCGCCCTCCTCCTCTTTCTCCGCCCTCCTCCATCTCCCCTCGCTGCCTCCTCGTCGCACACTGGCGCTGTCGACTAGCCAACTGCCCACCATCTGCCGCCACCCGTGGGACGGGCAGAAAAAAAAAACAACGGCGCATTGGAAGCACGCAAGCCCGTCGCCCACCGCATTTCCATCGTCCTCCGGCTTCTCTGCCACCGAAGCGCGTTCGATCCGCGACGTCGCGCTTTGCAAAGCGGGCCGCCGCAACATCGTGCAAACGCAATGGTCACAGCGCCGATCGCTCGGCCAGTCGGAAGGGGCGATCTAGTTCGCGCGCCTTCGCTCGAGAACCGCGCCCAAACGCTCTGCGAAAATCAGCACGCCGCGCACCACGCTTCGCAGCAGCGCCATCACCATGGGCACACAACTCTGCGATCTTTTTGTTGTTTCTCTTTCTCTCTCTCTCTCTCCCTCTCTCTCTGTATATATATATATACACATATAAACTCCCCAATCAAAACTTGCTTCTGTAGGGGTCCTAGCGGATTCATATGGTTAGGTTCGGTTTGTCGCCGATTTCCGCTGCACGCCCGGGTGCCCGGGTGCCCGGGGGTGCCCGGGGCCCAAGTGCCCGGGGGGTGCTCGGGGGTGCCCGGGGGTTCCCGGGTGCCCGGGTGCCCGGGTGCACGGGCGTGCCCGGGGGCCGGGGGTGCCCTATAGCCCTATAGCCCTAAGCCCTATAGGCCAATAGCCCAATAGCCCTACAACTCTGTAGCCCTACAGCTCTATCGCCCTATAGCTCAATAGCCCTATAGGCCCTCCCTGATTGTTTTTTCTCTCAGTATTATGTGTATATTTCTCTCTGTGCCTCCATCTCTCTCTCTTTCTCTGCGCCGAACATGCATGGCGCTCGATGCATCTCCTCGCAATGTAATTGGCTGACCAGGAGAGATATGCGTTTTCTCAAGCAAAAAAACACAGTTAGGGCTTGGCTTCGGCTGGGGGGGAGGTTCGAAGTTCGAGTTCGGAAACCAAGGGCAACAAGAACCATGAACAAGTTCAACTGTTCAGGAACGTATCGACAACATTTCACATGTTTTCACGGAAATGGGAAAACGTTCGAAAGCAGTGTGGGACAAAGCCGAACTGAAATTCAACGTCCAGCAACCGTTCGAAAACAGCTTGGACACAGATTCGGGAGTTCACGAACAGCTTACACGCGCTCCTCATACTTTCGAACTTCTTCGCCACCGAACGTTATCCACACTTTTCCGAACGTCTGGATTCTAACACTTTGGAGCTTGAATGCTGTAAAAGCATTGGCCCAACGCTTTGTTTCGGACTTTGCTTCTTTTGGACATTGGGCCAGTTGACATGAGTGCGCCTCCTCAACCAGTTGCAATCCTAGCGATTGGTCGCATGGCCCCTTGCGGGCGGTCGCCCAGCACGCCAGAACGCCAAGCGCGGATGGAAACGCAGCCGCTGAGAACGATGCCCGTCCGACCACCTTCTGCAGCATCAGCCCCGCCTGGAACAAATCGGGTTGCCCAAAACCGAGGGCGGCGGGCAGCCCCAGTCAGTATGAACAGCGACGCGCTGCGCCGTCGGCTCGGCTGACCCCGCCTGCGTTCCCAGAGGTGTGCCCTCACCACCCCCTCGTCTGCTCTGGCTGCCCCATGCTCCAACGCTCCGCCTGCGCCGCCGCCGCCGTCGCCTGGTCGGCGTCGCCGCCGCATTGACCGTATCCCCGTCGCGGGCGGCCCCCCTCTCTTCTGGCCTCTGGCCCTGCCCGTCTGCGTACGATTGTTTCCCCTTCCTCGTTCCTTCCCCCCCCCCTGCCCTCTCCGCCCTCTGAGCTCGGCTTGCCCCGCCCCTCAGAGCTACAATCGGAGGAGCAGGGCCATGAGAAGGATGAGGATGAGGATGAGGAGAAGGAGGAGGAGCGCCAGTACCTCATGAGTTCACGGGTCTCAGGGCACTCAACGCCTCGTGGGTTTCAGCCAGGGGTAAGGCCTAGCCGAACCAGGCGGAGGCGGAAGAATCGAGTAATTGTTGGGCATCTTGGCTAATGCTGGGGCAGAGTGAAAGGGCGCCCGTCTTGATGAGAGGCCATTCCCTTGGCCACGTAGTATATATAGAAGCTGAGGGCAATGGCCAAAATGGCAGTTTTCCGGGTGATGTCAAACGCGGGATAGGTCAACCAAGCCCGTGACGGAGGAGGGGGCCCGACGAGACGACAGCTCGAGGACGACAAACGAGATGAGTGAGGCGGAGGCACTTCAAATAGTGTGAGACGTTATCGGGCTGAGGGCACCCGGAAATACAGCTCTACTTAGAATCCGTGACGTAAAAGGAGGAGACGAGCGAAAAGAGGATTAGGAGGAGGAACAGGAGGAGAAGGAACAGGAGGAGCAAGAGGAGGAGGGACGACCCCCGCAGCCCACCCCCATTCGACTACATTGGGGCATCTGGATACGCGAAGCCACTCGCCGCCGCAAACACCGACGTCATCCTTGTCGTCGCTCATGTCGTCGACGTCATCGTCGACGGGCGTCGCATAAAACGCCCCCCGCTGCCAGGGCGCACCCAACGCGAGCACGAAGTCGTATCCGGCGTTCCTTGTCGCGGGACGGCCCTCCTCGTAAATCGTCGCAGTCCTGTTCGTTATCCTCGACCTCGTCGTCCTCCTCCATCCCGTATCCTTACAACTAACTCCTCCCTGTCGGGCCCCCAGACGCGTCGGTCGGGCGGGCCAGGCGTTTCGCTTGAGACTTCTTCGCCACTTGAGATCCTGAGGCTTGAAATTCGTAGCAGTTTCAAGCGCCACCGATGGAGGGCAGGTCCTTCTCCAAACGTGGTTCTCGCCTCATCGCCGCGCACACTTGCCCCAACAATTCGCAACAACTTCACGGATGGATGGCGGGCCCTTTTAAACATGTGGCTCTCGCATTAGCGCCGCGCACATTGGCATCCCATATTTGCGACCACTTCACGGATGCAGGCCGGGTTCTTCTCAAACGTTGGCCCTCGCCTTAGCGCCGCGCACATTCGTCTTGCAAGTTTGCTGCAGCTTCAAGGATCGAGGGCAATTCCTTTTTCAAACTTTGGCTATCGCCTTCGCGTCGCGTGCAGATTTCAACAAATTAATCAGTTTCACGGATTCGTTTGGTCGAAGTCCCAAGAATTGTGCTTTGGTGCGGTTTACGACTGTTCGGATGCAGCGGTCACGCGGGTTTGCGGTGATGATGTCCAAGGGTCGTGTTCTGGGACGATTTGGGATTGGCACAGCGCAGCACTAACGTTTATCCGCGGCGTTGACGTCCCCCAAGCGGGCTTTCTGCACGATGAAAGATTGAGAGACGGTTGTCTTCTAATGGGCCCTGCGTTCCGTGCGTGGCCTATGAAGAGGGAGTTTGGGGGAGGGTATATTGCTACATCGTAAATGCGTCTTGGGTTTGCACTGGTCCTCATTCTCGTCCTGCTCCTCTGCTCTTTCTCCTCCTCTTCCCTCCTCTGTTCCCTCCTCCTCCTCCTCCTCCTCCTCCTCCTCCTCCTCCTCCTCCTCCTCTCTCATCACCGTCATCATCATCAGCCTCTTCCTTGTCATCATATTCATCCTGATCGCTCCTCCCTCCTCCTCCTCCTCCTCCTCCTCCTCCTCCTCCTCCTCCTCCTCCTCCTCATCCTCCTCCTCCTCCTCCTCCTCCTCCTCCTCCTCCTCCTCCCTCCCCCCGTGCCCTGATCACCACCGCCCCCCTTCAAGCCTATCCCCTTCCTCGTCCTCTTTCCTCCCCTCCTGCTCCCCCCCCCCTCCTGCCCCGCAGCCCCCGGAAGCCCCGCTCGCTCCTCCTCCCCCATCCCCGTCCCTCCCCGCCTGGCGCGGCGAAGACCCAAGGGAGGGGCGCTCTCGCAAGAGATGGGGCTCGGCGCCCCGCCTGGGGACGGGGAAGGGCGGGGGGCGGGGGCGGGGGGGAGGAGAGGGCGGCGAGGGGGAGGGCGGGGACACGGAGGGGGGGAGCTCGGGATGGCGGCCAGGCGGGGGGGCAGGCAGGGACGTTGGTGGGGAGAGAGAGAGGTTGCTTTCGTGTTTTTGTTGGTGCATGGCTAGATTGTATACAGAGAGAAAGAGAGAGAGAGAGAGAGAGAGAGAGAGAAAGAGAAATACTGGGAGAAAGAGAGAGAGAGAGCCATATGGAGAGAGGCAGAAAGGGATATATACCTATACGACCACCCTTCGGGTGATAAGGAGGTTCGGGGGGGGAACCAGCGTCTCACTCGATCGGTCTCACTATCGATCTCAGTATCGATCTCACCATCGGTCTCGCTCGATCGATCTCACAATCGATCTCACTCGATCTATCTCATTCGATCGATCTCACAATTGATCTCACAATCGATCTCACAATCGATCACACAATCGATCTCACATTCGGTCTCAATATCGATTATCACTATCGATATCACAATCGCTCTCACAATCAACGTCATCATCATCATCATCATCAGCATCATCATCGACAACATCATCAACATCAACATCATCACCAACATCATCATCATCATCATCATCATCATCATCATCATCATCATCATTAGGGCACCGTTATCATCATCATCATCATCATAAACATCATCATCAACGTCAGCATCATCACCGGGACAACATCATCATCATCACCACCATCATCTCATCATCAACATCATCATCATCATTATCATCATCGGGACACAGTCGTCATCATCATCAGCAGCATCATCATAATCATCATCATAATCGGGACACCATCATGATCACCATCGTTCTCATCATCAACATTATCATCAACATCTCCATCATCCTAGGGACACCATCATCTTCATGATCATCGCATCATCATCATCGACATCATCATCAACAACATCATCATCATTGGGGCACCATTATCATCATGAGCAACATCATCATCAACATCGTCATTATCATTATTATCATCATCGGGACACCATCAGCATCACCATCATCATCATCATCATCATCACCATCATCATCATCAGCATCATCATCGGGACACCATAATCATCATCAACATCATCATCATCAACATCATTATCGCCGGGACACCATTTCCATCAACATCATCATCACCAACATCATCGGAATCATCATCATCATCATCATCATCGGGACACCATCATCGTCATCATCATCAACATAATCATCATGAGCATCATCATCCTCATCATCGGGACACTATCATCATCATCGACACCATCATCAAAATTATCATCATCTTCATCGGGACACCATCATCATCATCATCATCATCATCATCATCATCATCATCATCTCATCATCATGTCCTTCATCATCATCATCATCATCATCATCATCATCTCATCATCATCATCCTCGCGGGACACCGCGGGACACCGGCGGGACACCGCGGGACACCGCGGGACACCGCGGGACACCGCGGGACACCGGCGGGACACCGCGGGGCCCCGCGCCCCGGATGAGAAACATTTGGTCCGGCCGCGCCTCAGCCACAGGAGGACACCGCGGGACACCGGCGGGACACCGCGGGGCCCCGCGCCCCGGAAGAGAAACATTTGGTCCGGCCGCGCCTCAGCCACAGGAGACTTTTTCTCGCCCGCCCACGCAGCTTCGCCTCGCACGCACGGCACGCACGAACACGAAACCGAAACCGATTTCCCGGTGGGGGGCTCGCCGTTCCACTTCGATCTCACCCCCTCACCTCCGATAGAGAGAGAGAGAGAGACACACACACACACACACGCACACACACACACACACACGCGCATACACACACACGCACACCAGGGCCACACACCAAGACACACACACACAAACACACACACACACACGCACACGCGCACTTACACCAACACACACACACACATACACACACACACACACACACACACACACGCACGCACGCACGCACGCACATACGCACACACGCACACACGCACACACGCACAGACGCGCACACGCGCAAACGCACAGACCCGCGCGGTGGCCGCCAAGGGGCCCTCCGCCGCAGAGGCGCGCCCCCGCCGCGGTACCGCACTGCCCCGCCGAGCGGCACGGCGCGCCGGCCCAGCGCCCGCCGCTCAGCCGCTGGGGGTGGTGCCGGGCGCGGTGACCTCCGTGCGGGCCCCGGCGCGGACGAGCTCCTCCACCGTCCTCCTCTGCGGTGGGGCTCGAGCTGAGCAGCGCTTTCGTTTCGTTTCGTTTTGTCACTTTCCTTCGTGCATGTCTTCGTTCTGCCTCGGCTGCGACATGGACTCAGACCGAGAACGGTCCACGAGATCGCCACAACACCGCTTGGCTCGAACCCTGCTCTTCGGTATGATCGAGACGGGTACGGAAAGAGCGGGCACGAAGACCCACGGCGGTTCCTCTCCATTGTCGAGCAAGGCTCGCTGTCGGTGCCGTCGCGGGCACGGCCCGTGCGAGGCACGAGCTCGCCTGCCTGACAGCGTCCGCTGTCGGCTTTGGACAACATGTGCTGTTGGGCATCGTCCCCATGGTTTCCGCCCCCTTTTCGGACGTACTCAGGGGAGGAGAAAGACGAGGAGGAGGGGGAGGGGGAGGAGCAGGAGGAGGAGGAGGAGGAGGAGAACGCTTCAGCCACGTAGCCAAAGTCTGAGCAACGTTATACAAAGAGGCGGAGGAGGAGGAGGAGGAGGAGGAGGACGAGGAGGAGCAGGAGGAGGAGGGAGGAGGACACGTGCCGACATGTCCCAATCCTTCGGGCACGTGCCGACATGTCGGGGGGTGCTCGTGAGCGGGCGGGCAGTATACGCGTGGGCTGAAGGGAGCGTCCGCCTCCCGCGCACCCACCCTGCGGACCCCGCGGGTGGCAGCTCCTGGGCACGCTGGGGGCCACTTCCCTGCCGCCCTCGACCCCCCCCCGCGGGCCTTGCTTGCCCTCCCCCCCCGCCGCTGCCGTCCGCCGGGGCACGGATCACAGACCCGCGGGCCTGGCACGCGGGAGCGCGGAGGGGGGTGGGCGGGACCGGTGCCCCCGAAGCGCGAGGCCTAGGCCGCCGGATTTTGCGCGACGGCGCGCCACTTTTTTGTGGTTTGATATATATATATATATATATATATATATATATAGATGTGCATATATATATATATAGATAGGTGTATATATATATAAATATATATATATATATAGATGTGCATATATATATATACATACATATGTGTATAAGAAATCGGGGGCAAGAGATACCGATGCCGCTATATACTCCCCGGACTGCTTCCGGGGTCCGTTCTGAGAGGACTTTCGAATCGAATCCAGCCGTGGCGGCGAGGTCCTCCTGGGAGGCTCAGCAATGCGAGAACGAATGAATGATAGCGACATGCGAAACGAAGGCCTCCCTGGAGGCTCGAAAAAACGAGAGAAACAAAAACGAGCACAAGAAAGAAATCAACGTTTTCCGTAGATCGCGTCTCGGGGTGGGTGGGTGGGTGGGGGTGGGCCGTGTAAGGTAGCCGTGCGTGTCTGGTTGTTCTCTGCCTTACCCTCGACGTGTTTTCTGTATGTCGTGTCAGCTCCTCAGCCCTTCCAGGGCGGTTTCACCTCAACCCCATGCTAATGTTCTCGACCTTCGGCAGAGGGCGTCTGGGCCCATAGGCAGCGTGTCGCCATCAACAACAAACAAATGTCGTGTCAGCTCGAGCTTGTTGGGCTGAAGTCGGTTCCGACGGAGCCTACCGCGCTCCCCCTTCTCGTGCCTCACCAGCGTGGGGCGGATCTCCCCCTCAGAAGCGAGGCCCGCCGCTGACGCGCGCGCATTGGTCCACGTTTGCGTTTCCCCGCTCCTGTCGCCGAGCACCCAAGGCTCGCACAGCTCCACGAGGGCCGTACCCCACCACCTCTGCGGGCCCACCGAAACCGTAATCATGGGGACGGACCGCGTAGTGCCCTCAGAATCCCCCACGACCTCACCGCGCGGACCGTCACCGCACGGCCTTGAGACCCCGGAGGCCCCGGTCGCCCGAGGTGTCCTCGGAGAGCGACCCGAATCCAAAAAACCGCGCGGTGACCTCGAATTCCCACCGACTCACCAGGCGGTGCATGGCCACCACACCGCTTGGGGCCCCCCCATGCCTGCGGCGCCTGGTGATTATACCAGGTCTAACTAGCTCGGGCCTCCAGCGGTCCACCGGGACGGCCGGGGCAGCCCCGGAGCGCTCTCGGCGAGGCGCAGCTGCTGGAACGCATCCCGATGCTGGGCAACCAATCGAGCCCGAAGAACACGTCCGAAAAGCCCAGCAAAAATCGTGCCGTGACCGCACCGCCTGGAGGGCCCCGAGGCGCGCAGCCGACCGAGCCGCTCTGCGACGGTCCACGCGGTACGGCCGCCACACTGTCTGGGGGCCCCCGGCACCTCGCGCGGGCCGTCGTGATCAGCGGGCGCCGCTCCCGGAGCTCCTTCTCCGAGCGCCTGGCGGGCGTCCGCTCTCTGGCCTGCTGCTCGGGCCTCCCGAGCGGGCCCTGCCGCTCGTTCGACTCGACGTCTGCCGAGGAGGAGCCCTCGGAGTCGCCGCTCCCGGGCTCTGGCACGGTCTCCTCTGGACGTGGTGCCGGCGCGACGCGCTCGAAAGCTGGGCGGGGGCTGCCGAAACCGTGGCTGCTAAAACGGCCCTCCCGGAAGGAAAAAGCACCTTCCCGGAATGAGGCGCGGCACGCGAAACAGTCAACGGGCTTCTTCCCGGAAAGACGACGACAACTTCCTGGAGGTCGATGTTAGCAGCCACGGATTTCGCAGCCCTTGCCCGGCTTCCGACTTACACTAGGGGAAAGCTTCCTATATTGCATGTGCGCGCTGCTTGGCATGTTGCTTGGCATGTTTTTCAAACAGCGCCTGCATCTAAATCATCTTACTTGTCTCTCGGGAGCGGCCAAGAGGGGGGTGTCCAGTAGGGGGGGTGTAAATCATGACCGTCGGCATGTGCGCGGCCCAGCGGGGGGGCCAGGGACGTAATGAAAATCGGAAGAGGCGCCATGAAATCTGGGGAAATATCATGGCCCCCGCCATGATATCCACCCCCCCTAGTCATCACCCCCCTCTTTTCCGCCCCCGAGTCTCATAATGAGCTGGGCCTGGTTGCCGGTACCGCCTCCTTGTAGCCGCCCGTCGCAGGAGTCGCCGCAGCCCGTCGCCGCACCATGTCGTTCACGATGTGGATTGTGCGAGGCTCGCAGCTTGCATTGCTTTGTATTGCTTTGTATTGCTTTGTATTGCTTTGTATTGCTTTGTATTGCTTTGAACAGCTTTGCATGGCTTTGCGTTGCAATCGCATTAAATGTTGTTGCATTGTTGCGTTGCATCGCTTTTCATTAGTTTGCTTGCACCACATCGATTGCACCATATGGATTGTGCCACCTAGGTTGCGCCACATTAATTGCACCACCTGGATTGCACCGCGTAGACTGCAAGACATCACTGTTTGGGGTCCACGCTGGCTAATTTTGCTGGGCATTTTACATGCTATTACTTGGCACTGCTTGGCAGATTGATTGGCGTACTGTTTGGCTTCGCTTGGCATTTCTTGGCACTGCGTGGCGTTGCACGGAACTAAGACCAAAGAGCCAAGGAACCAAGGCCAAAGAGCCCAAGGGACGGCACTGAAAGGAAGCAAGACCGAGGAACCCCAGAGAACTCACTTGTAAGGAAACAAAGCCGAGGAACCGCGGGGAACCCAGCGACGACCGCGTCCGACACCCACTGCTTTTCACAAACAAGTAAGAACCCAACTCGTATTTTGAGAGACAGGCAACACAAACAATGCCTCAACGAAATCGGCATCAACACACCTACGCACACACAGACACGCGCACACATGTTTGCAGCCGAGTCCCATTTCTAAACAGAAATGTTAGCCAGTATGGACCCCCAAGGGTGAGTTATGTCACTGCGGAGGTGAACGAGCAGGCGTGTAGGCTATGTGGTGCGAGCTGCGTTCTGCAAAGCATGTTCTGAAAACTGTGTGGTGCAAGCTATGAGGTGTGAGCCGTGGCGGGCAATCTATCGATGGCGTGAGCTGCGTGGTGACAACCGGGGCGGTGCACGCTGCGTGGCGAAAGCCCTGTGGTGTAAACTATGTGGCGTGAGACCCGTGGTGTGAGTTACGTGGGGCAAGCCCACCTGTGCGATATGTTTTGTGTTACACGTATGCATGTATGTATGTATGTATGTATGTATGTATGTATGCATGTATGTATGTATGTATGTATGTATGTATGTATGTATGTATGTATGTATGTATACACATATATATATATATAAACGTAAGCGCCCGAGGCGGCCACGAGGCGCCCGCGAGCGGGCACGGGCGCCCGCGCAGGCGAACGCTGCGCGGGCCCCCGCGGGGCGACTCCTCGGGAGACCCGCCCGGCGCACGGGGCGGCCCACGAGGCGCCCACGGGGCGCGCCCACGGGGCGCCCACGATGCGAAACCTGCGGGAACCCAGCCAGCGCACGGGGCGCCCAAAACGCGCTCGCGGCCCGGAAACCCCCTCCACTCGCTCCGGGAACCTGGGCAGGAGCCCCCGAGGGCAAGCACGTTTTTGGAGGGGAGCAAGCAGCTCCTCCCGTGGCTGGGCCTCCGCCATGCCCACGCAGGAGAGCAGGCGCGTGGTGGTGCCCCCGCAGACGATCAGCAGCAGGACGATGATCACGTACGTGCCCTCGACGATCGGGTCCTGCAGGAGACGAAGCCTCTGCATGAACACAGCATGTCGGAGATCCGCGCAGACCCCTGGCGTGCCGCGGCGGCGGCCCCGGCGGCGCGCGCTGCCCTGCGAGCCCATAGCGTGCCGCTCAGCTCCGCGGGGCGGGCGGCCAGGAGAGGCTCGGGCCGTCGACGCTCGGGGACGGGGACGTGGGCAGAGTGTCGCGCCGAAGCGCGGTGGGCGGCGCGGCACATTGAGCCAGAGATCCTGAAAACCTTCGGAGCTCCGCGCGGACCCCGAACGCTTCTGTCCATGCCGAACGCGCCCATTTCGGCACCCCCTTCACACGCTCCGTGGATAGAGAGCTCCAGCAAATGCCCCAGTGGCACGGTGTGCGTGGCGCCGCCGCATCCCTCACACGTTTTTCTGGCTCTGTTTGGAGCTCCACCGACAACCCCAGTGGCAAGGCTCGCGTGGCGCCACCGCGCCCATGTCGGCTCACCCCTCGCACGCTTCGTGGCACAATAGGGAGCTCCGCCGAGGCCCCAGTGGAACGTTTCGCCTTCGGGTCCTTCTCCTTCGGGTGGCACCAGTCCTTGTTGAGCTCGAGGGCCAGGACCAGCGACACGCCGCCGCGCAGGCCACCGTTCCACATCATGACCTGCCAGGCACTGCCGAGGGGGGGTCACCACCAGTGGGGTGCGCACCTCGCCGAGGAAGCGCCGTTCCCTCGAGGACGTGGGCCCCTAAGAACGCTCCAGAGCCTCCCAAAACGACCCCAAACGTCAGACCAGCTCCTCGAGCTTCGATCCTGGAAACTCGATCCTCGGCAGGAACTGGCGACCCCCCTTTGTGGTGACCCCTTTTGCCCGCTCCCGACGACCTGGTGCCTCCACGTGAGGATGTTCACCGGGGCCCTGTCCTCCATGTAAGCAGCTACCCTCTTGCCTGGCGGAAGAAAATTACATAAACTCAGGAGGACCACGTATCGATACCGCTACCTTTGCCTCATGTTCGACTTTGTGGGCCTCCTGGGAAGCCGTCGTTGCCAAGGCTGGGTTCGCCTCGAGATTCCCGTCAGAACGCATCCCAGGAGAGATCTGGGGAGCACCGATATCGGCACCTTACAGACATGAACTTTCGGAGGCCCGCGCGGATTTCTTCCATCTGCGCTGGACACCCTCTCCCTGGCGTGCGTAGCGCGCTGGGGGCAGCGCCCGAGGCGCCGCCAGGGGGTTACAACTGATGCTTTGGGGCCTTCTGGGGAGACCAAGAAGTGCCGATACCACAATACTCCCCAGACCTCTCCCGGGGTGCATTCTGACCAGAACTTTGAAGCGAATCCAACTGTGACGACGAGGGGATCCCGGAAGGCCCAATCACGCGGGAACGAGGGAGACGTAGCGACATCGATCGCATACCCTCATCTGAATGGATGCAGTCTGCTCTTCTCTGGCTGCCCGCGTTGGACGCGGCGGCGCACGCGGGGACGACCGCGCCGCGGGCGGCAAGGCAGAGCAGGGTGCCCCAGAGCCCGAACAGCAGGCCGCTGCCGCTGGTGAGCAGGGAGGCGATGACCCCCACCTTGGGGGGCAGCTTCTGGGGAAGTCTTCGCAATAACGACTGAGGGCTGTTGACCCAACCCCCCCCTCGTGCAATGAAAAAAGCACGGCGATCAATGTTGTTGTGTACATCGGTTCCTTTTTCTATATTGTTTTATAATCTGGGGGGGTGCGAACCCCTCCCCCGGAACGGGACCCCCCCCGATCCGTGGCACGGGGGGAGGCCGGAAATCCTTGCCAAGGCGTGCATGCTGGCGGGTAGCAGTCCCAAATCGATCGGCGAAAAGCCCAAGGTCCACCCAAGACGGTCCAGGAGGGCATCCAGCTAGCCTTGACCCCCGCCAGATGCCCGAGGATCACCCCTATGTCACCCCAAAGAGGCGTTCGAACCCCAAACACATCGATGTTCCATGGTTTTTGTATGATTTTTGGATACTCGCTAATTCGGCCTTCCACGCGTCCGAGAACGTTGGAAACGCACTGACAACCGCTCCTAGACGGCCCAAATCGGCCCCATGAACGCCCGAAGCGGTCCCCAAACTGCCCACAAGAGTCCCCATGACCGCCCAAAACTGACCCCACGACGGCTGGCGCAAGGCCTTAGAGACGCCACAAACGGTCCAAGATGGCATCATGCGGTCCAGGCGTTAACTGGATGCCCGAAGGCGCTTCGAATGTCACCGCCAAGATGCGCTCGAAACCCTGAACATATGTTGTTGTTGTTGTTGCTGCTGCTGCTGCTGCTGTTGTTGTTGTTGTTGTTGTTGGTTGTGGTGGTGGTGGTGGTGGTGGTGGTGGAGCTGTTGTTGTTTTTGTTGTTGCTGTTTTTCTTTTGTTCTCTAGTTTTTGTATGCTTTTCGGCTATGATGTCCTCTTTCGGCTTGCCAGGCGTCCGAGAAAGCAAGCGAGGCACCTGAAACCTTTCCCGATTCTAGAAAAGCCGTGCGGGGGCCCAAGACGGCTCCTAAACTGCCAACAAACGGCCTCATGACCGCCCCAAACTGACCCCAAGGCGGCCGGCGGAAAACCCCAAACACGCCCAATGCGGTACAAAATGGGATCAAGTTGGCCTTGGCCCGCGTCGGATGCACTGAGGCGACCCGAAAAGGTACCTCCAAGACGCGCTCGAACCCGAAAAAAGACGGATGTTTCAATCTGTTGTGAGATGTACCACCATTCGTTCCGTCGGCCTGCCGGGCGTCCGCAAAACGTTGTAAACGCTCCGACGCCGCTCCAACTAAACCCAAACGCGCTTCCTGAATCCCCAGAGCGGCCCCACGAGGGCCTGGGACGGCCCCCGAATTGCCTATGGGCGGCGCCGTGACGAAATCACGAGCCAAATCAGCATCCTCACTCTTTGGGAAGGCGCCACGAGGGCCCTAAGCGACTCCGAAACTGCACAAAGGCGGCTCTCCATGACGGCCTGGGGACACCCTCTGGACGCTCCTCAACAGGGCCACCCAGGAACTCCAGCTCTCCAGGGCGCCTTGTCAACGTTCACCCAAGCGCGCAAACGGGCGAGCGGCAGTCCCAAGACGCCCCGAAGACAGTCCGAGGTGGCTCCGGATGGGGCCACGCGGCCCTCACACCGCTTCGGCAGGCCCCCATGTAGATCCTTGAGTTCTCGCCCGCTCAAATGGTACTCGTTACGGAAAGCAGCAATTTGCCCCCAACCCCAAGTTCGCAACCACTTGTCTGGAAATTCTGTTGCGCACCCAAGACTTCAACAGTTTCCATTTACGCAATTCCGTGCGCGAATGGTCTCCGACTCACAGCACGAGCCCGTCCCAAATTTACTGCCCCCTCCTCCCCTTTTCCCCGGTTTCTCCGTCATACGAGCGAGCGAACACGCCTCAAAGGGAAAAGAGGAAGGCGCGACAGGCCAACCGCTCCCAAGCTTCAAGGAAGAAGGTGCGTGGCACGAAGCGCCCAACCAGTCTTGTATGTATGTATGTATGTATGTACGTACGTACGTATGTATGTACGTATGTATGTATGTGTGTATGTGTATACACACATTTGTGTACTAGAACCACGCGCGCTACGCGCGCGCTTAGGTTCGAATCGCAGATGAGCCGCGGGTGCCGTTGTCTGCCCCGCTGTGGCCACAACGGCGATTTCCAGCGTTGTCCAGCCCATGCCATCGACGCAAAAAAACGCGCAGTCAGAACGCGGGGCGCCACGTTCCAGCGCATCTCACGATCTCGCCACCCCTCTGTTTGGTTTATCGAACTGCGTTTTTTTCAACAGTTTCAATTCCGCTCTGCCCCGTCGTGACACTCAATGCTTGTGCGCATATGTTCGGTTTCCCCATGCCCGATCACGCAGGCATCCGCTGGCTCCTGATGTTGAGGTTGGTTCGGGGCCTCGTTCCGCGCGCGCGTGGGCGCGCGCTGCGTTTTGTTAGTTCCCTTGTGCTCCAAGTTTCTCGTTGTCGGCGGTCGTTCAGCTGTCGGGTATCTGCAGACGGCGGGCGCATATGTCCCAGTCATCAATGTCCTTCTCTGCAATCACGTGTTGTCGAGTCCGTTCGCGGGAACGGGGGAGCCTCTTTGTGCTGGACGCCAAACCTCATACCAACGATAATCGCACCCGTGGGAGCACAAGGTTCGGGCTCTCGGGGGATGCTCAACGATCTGCCTGGCAAGTCTCGTGCGTGGCGCTGCCTGGAACTCAGACGGGGCCTTTGGCGGCACCTTCTTAGCGCCCTGGCGAGGTCTTTCAGGAGGTGTGGGAGTGCCACGAAACCTGAGAATTTGCATACTCTAGCCACACCCTGCTCGCTCGGACAGGTCCGCCCTGTAAGGGTGGGAGGAGCAAGAATCGAATGACAGAATATGGTGTATGGATGCCCTGCTTTCCCTGGCGGGGGTTTCCCTGGCGCTCTGGCGGGGCTTGCCCAGGAGGGGAGGGAGGAACACGAAACCGAAGGACAATTATGGTATAGCCACACCCCGTGCGCTCTGACGGGGCTACCTCGGGGTGCGGTGGGAGGAGCAAAACAGAACAGGGACTGTATATGGTATAGCAACACCCCTCTCGCTCAGCCGGGGTGGGAGTGGCAAAGCAACTTGTGAAATGATAGGGTATGGCGATGCCCCGCTCGCTCTGGCGGAGCCTGTCTGGCGCTCTGGCGGGGCCGTCCTAGGAGAGGAGGGAGGAGCACGAAAGCTGAGGGGTGAAGGGGGGAAAAGGAGAGAGGAGGGAATGGAGGCAAGAGGAGGGGGCGGGAGGGAACGAAGGACGGAGAGGGGAGACCCAGGCCATCTGGGCCATCTTGGAGCGCCTTGGGGCCTCCCGCTCCCGCTCTGTGGCCCAGCTTGGGCCTGTCCTGGTGCTTTTTTGCGCCGTCTGGGGCTCCTCCTGGGTCGTTTTCGGGGTCCCTGGGGCCGTTTTGGGGCACTTTTGGGTCGGTCTTGGGGGCGTCTTCTGCCATCTTCGAGCATTAGAAGCTCGAGAGCGCGAGAAAGCGAACAACAATAAAACACACCCAACGTAAATCAATGATGCGGGCCTCTTTGGGCTCTCTCGGGACGTCTCTCGGAGCTCTCTTGGGCCCTGTTGGAGGCCACTTGGGCTATGTGTTTTCCGTCTTGAGCTCCTCTTGGGCCACGTCGGGATCGTCTGGGCCGTCTAGCAGCGCCTTGGGGCCTCCCGCTCCCGCTCTGGAGCCCATCTTGTGCCTCTCCTCGGAGTCTCTAGGGCAATCTTCGGCTGCTCTTGGGCAGTGTTCAGGCTCCCCTGGGCCGTCTCGTGGCTCTTTGTGGGGCCTCTTCGGCTGTCTTGGGGGCGATCTTCGAGGCGTCTTCGGCCTTCTTGGAGCGTTGGAAGCTCGAGAACGCAAAAAAACGAAAAACACAAAAAACGATCAGAAATCAAGGATATGGGCCTCTTCGGGCTCTCTCGGGACGCCTCTCGGAGCTCTCTTGGGCCCTCTTGGAGGGCTCTTGGGCTGTGTATTGGCCGTGTTGGGCCCATCTGGGGCCACGTTGGGGCCATCTGGGCCGTCTTGGAGCGCCTTGGGGCCTCCCGCTCCCGCTCTGTGGCCCAGCTTGGGCCTGTCCTGGGGCTCTCTTGGGTCGTCTGAGGCTTCCCGGGCAATTTTCGGACTCCATGGGGCCGTCTTGGGGCGGTCTTGGGGCGGTCTTGGGGGCGGTCTTCGGCCGTCTTGGAGCGTTGGAAGCTCGAAAGCGCGAGACACCAAAACCATTTAAAACACAAAAAGAAATTTAGGATCTGGGTTCTCGGAACTCTCCTGAGGCCTCCTGGCTGTGCCTTTGCGGTCTGGGAGCCCATCTTGGGCCGCGCTGGGGCTATATGAGCTGTCTTGCTGGTCGAAGTCCCCTCGGGGGCTTCTGGGAGCGTCTTGGAGCTCTCTGAGGCAGTCTGGGGGGCTCCACGGCCCCTCCATGGGCGCTCTGGGAGCGGTCTCGGAGGCCCCGTCCCTGGGCGCCTGGGCCTCTTGCGCGGGTGGCTCGTCTTGGGCCATCGTGGGGGCTCCTTGGAGCTTCGGCGCCTTGGAGCGACAGTTCGGGGACTCTGGGCCCTCGTGGACGTTTGGAGACCTCGGGTGGCATTTCGGGGCTGCCTGGGGCTGTATCAGGGGGGCCCCAGAAGCCCCCCGGGGCCCTCGGGGACCGTGTTGGGGGCCTCCTGGATAGTCGAGGGCTCCTCTGGAGCTGTCTTGGAGGCCTCTTGAACTCTCTTTGGCCGCCTCGGGGGGATGCTGTGGGCTCCTGGGGCCGTCTTCGAGGCGGTCGACGCCGAAGATGTGAATATCGTAAAATCTACGTTGTCCGAAAGGGATGGGGCAATTTGTGCTTCTGGAGGCGCTCTTGGCGGTCCTCTTCGGGGACTCTTGGGCCGTCGTGGGGGCTCCCCGAGGCCGTCTTGGAGCCATCGTCGGCGTGTTGGCGACAATTCGGGGATTCTGGGCCCTCGTGGACGTTTGGAGTCCTCCTCCTGGGACTCTCGGGTGGCGTTTCGGGGCTGTCTCGGGCTGTATCTGGGGGGCCCCAGAGG